TGGGATCACCACAGCACTCATGCCAATATTAGCCTCAATAGGACATATGATTTATGTATTTTCCGTAGACCGTAGTCTCCCTTTGACCGTTGTTAGTCAAATGTTGCTTTGGAAATACAACTTTGATCCTTAGGGGCGTTTTAAAATCACCTAACAATATCACGATTAACCAATCATATTGATTACGTCAGTCTATTGCACTAAATTGACAATTTTGAACCCTATATTTAAAGCTCAGCTCAGGGAAGAAGTTATCGAAAATAAGCTGTGTTACCTATGGCATTTTGTTAACAAGTATCTCAGATAACAATGATTTAAGAGTCTTTTGGATCAGGAAAAACCTAATCAAGCGCAAAAGAGTTGAAAATGAAAAGCCATAATATTGATGTTTTGTTCCTCTGGGTAACTGTTAGATTCTATCTATGACATATTTCGTTGTCCTCCAATCAACAAACACCACTAAGAAAACACTGTCTTTCCAGTTCAATAAAACACCTGATGAATGAATTTGGAACCGCATAGATTGTTGACCCGGAGACACAAGTGGTAAGATTGATTGAGAACTACATATACAAGATTATGGGAGATTGTCATCCCGGGAAATTATTCATTTTTTAGAAGAAAAAATAAACTTTGTTTAGAATAAAACATAAATATGAATACAAATTCATGAAAAAGGAGTCTTTGAGGACCACAATTATTTTACTCCTCCGAGTTGGCGAAAACACATTTTCACTATCTGTCTATCGAATATACAACATTTACGTCACGAGATCATTATGATTATAAAATGACCAAAATTGCTTTACTCATACATTTCGGTTGATACGATCTACGTGCAGAGAAAAAGGGTCTATTGTTAACAGATTTTTTCTCGATTGACTCACACATTTACTTTTGTGCTTCGACTTATTCCAGTTATTCCCTCGTCCTTTTCACATATTGGTTAAACGTCATATGATTGGGATTGGGACCGAAAATCTGTCAGAATTACTTTCCCCGACCTAGTCCACCGTTCATTCAGTAAACCTTACACTGGAATAGTGCTCCGGTTAGAACTTTCACTGGTGATGCACACATTCGCTGGAATTCTCGATCCAAACTCCTCGCTTATATAATCTATCTTTTCTAGCATTGATCATAGATGATGTTCTCCGTTCAGTCAATCCCATACTGATTGAAACTGAAAGCACTCTCCCACTCTAGGTCAGGTGACACAAGAAACAGTGGTCTAATCTATCAACGAATTCGACGGAAGCCGCTCAGACATGCTTACACGGACACAACTCACAATCCTATTCATGTGGCGGAGAGGTGAACTGTTGAATTGCCCACTTGGTAGATTGCTTGTTTCGGCATTAAACAGATCTTGAAGGGATTGACAGTGGGCGTATCTGTGTGCATGGAAATGTGTTTCATTAAAAAAGAAGGGGCCCTACTGCTCGTTAATATATGAGCTCAAGTACCCATATGCTAAGTAACCCATTGAATGAGGTCCACATAAACTGAAGTTGATAATTCAACTTCTGAAACATATATTTAATTTAATTGATATAATTAAATCAACATGCTATTCCATTGCCATAGTTATTGGCTCACTGGTCGAGGCATTTCTTCCCAAGGGGGCTTTTCCCAACAGGCATTCGATAGAAGTAGACATTCGATTGTACTATCCAGTCAGAAACCATACGGCTCAGACAAGTTGAACAATAGCAGAAATACTAGAAAGCGATTGGCGGAGGCCTGGATGACCAATTATCTTGTTTTGTACATATTATTTATTCCTCCATATTTCTCTCAATTAATGAACTGCTACTCCTTTGGCCTTTTCACTCGCGTCTCGGTTACTTGGGATATTGCGTGTAATTGCCAGTGTGATCCAGTGATTACGTGAGGTCCGTGATTTCTAATTAGTTATTGGTATTCCGCGTTCATTTCGAGCTTATACTACTAATAATACAATTACTACACATTTCCAAACCACCACCACCACCATCACTACCACCACCAGCAACAACACGAACTACTACAACACTGCGAGCAACCAAGCAGTGCGAGTTTCCCTGAGTGGAATCCACTCTCCAACACACCTCTTCTGTGATACTTTCGAATCACTGGCCCGGAAATTCAATCTAAGTTTCTCCATAGAACGGTACTTCTGAATCAAAAGACCCCATATACAATTTTTTAGCTAATAATCTAGGTTCTTCGATGTTATCTGCAAACGTTCTGTTGAACTTATCCGAAGTGAATAGCATCAGTATCGGATATAGCTTTTTTTCTCACGGATGAATAAGCTTATTCTAACCAGTGTTTACCAAATGCCGCCCAGAAGTAACGTGAAATAGTAACTGTTTCAAGTAATATCAACCTTTCACGTGATGTCCCTGTAATTCCGCCACCCCCTGGGCTATTAAATTGTCAATCGCTTTCTATAACTGAATGCGTGCCGAGACGAAGGGTGATTTATCGGACCTGGTGATCATCGTCAGGTGATCGAATAAGTTGTGTGTATGTATGCAATTATGTATCTATGTATGAATGTATGTATACGAGTATGAATGTACGTATGTATGTTTGTATGTATGTAAGTATGTATGTATGTATGTATGTATGTATGTATGTAAGTATGTATGTATGTATGTATGTATGTGTGTAAGTATGTATGTATGTATGTATGTATGTATGTATGTATGTATGTATGTGTGTATGTATGTATGTACGTGTGTATGCATGTATGTATGCACGCATGAGAATGGAGATACATAGTTAGGTTACCGCAACAGATAAAGTCCTGTGAAAATAAAAATATTCTTCAGGTGTTTTAGGCAATTGAAAAGGTAAAATGTGCTAGCATACATCGCCTATTTCGTTTACATTTAAACCACTGGAAACAAGTGAGCGATTAAACCGAGAAACATTTGGAAAGAAAATCGGTTTATTTAATAAATTTAATAATAATAAATAGTAGTAAACAATCCCGTTTTAACTTTTACGCCAATTTTCTACCATTTATATGAACCTAATGCATACAACCTTTGCGAATGCTGGTTAGAGTAACATTTCACTTCTCGTCACCTTATTGATCACCCTGGCAGGCGTATGTATATGGATTCTCCGTGTTTCTATCGACAATAATTCACGAGGCTTGATTACGGATGAACGTACGCTGAATCAACTGAGGAAAACACCACAATACCTGTTGCAATCCAACAAGATCAGCTGCGCGTTGAGGTCAATTACTTATATATATGTGAACGATATAAGTGCGAAAAAATGAGGCTGCACAGAAAGTCACGTCAAATCGGCGAGAGAGAGAGAGAGTAATCGTCCTTGCTGCAAATGTTTAGGATCATTGGTGGGATAATTCCAACGGAAATCTAATTTGCAGCTCGGGGAGTTGATTCGAGAAAAAACGAGCCCCGAAGAATCATGCTGATGATTTTACATTGAGCGTTGGTGGTTAGATGCGTCTAACCTTGGCCAACTAAACACCAGAACCGAGTTTTGGTGTTTTACAATGAGCAGTATATGAATGAGTAAACAAAAATTCCCATAAATTTCACGTATAAAAATGATCAGAAAAAATATTACTGGATGCGCTAACCTAACGAGCGGAATGGACCGCGAAACCGGTCGTAAGCTTCTGGGAAAGTTTTTCCAGTCATTCATGTACTACTGATTATAGTCCAACGCTATGTTTACATCGGCTAGAGTTACAATTTTGAATACAATGATTCATTCCAGCAGGTCTTATACATTTTCGAATAGTGCGAGAAGCTGCCAATCGCCTCCTTTTGTACGTGATCGAAACCTACTGCTCACATATATGAGTAATGCCTTGGAACACTAGTGCTGAGGCTAGCTGAATAGCTCCCACGTCAAGTTTCAAACAGCGATATTCGCGGATGTTTTGTGTACCGCTTTTGATTATGCAATAAATCTAGCAATGCTTTTTCTCAAGGGAATGTGAACTGACCATGTGTGCTGTGAATACTTTACATTAGTTCACAATCCTTCTCTCACATGTCAGGTACAACGTTGAAGATGAATTGTGCACCCCAATAGCTCTCACTTATCATAGAATCTATCAGCAGCATCTATTGACCAGTAGAACCTTCAGTTAGAAATGATCAGTAAACGTTATGCCTCGTTGAGGTCAAAATTCTCACCGTATCTCCACAGTCTCTCAAAACCTGAGTAGACAGGAAAGTCGTTGTGTGCAAACACAAGCTCCTCTGGTAATCTGGGGATTTAGCAATATGTCAATTTACACATATGTATCAATCGAGAGAGATTGACTTGCTATTTGACTTCACCCAGTTCATGTGTTCCAGTCAAACTGCTTAGAGGCAGAGAGTGAATTCGTGTCTTGGTAAACCGCTTACTTTGAGTTGATCAAAAGTCTTAGTTCGGTTACCGCAGCATACTTATTTATTTAGTGAATTCATTGTATTCTTGGTTTTTGAGGATCCGGTGTTTTCCTTTCCGGTAAGAATGGTCACATTCATGCATCAAATCTATTCCGAATAAGTAAACATAATGAATGTTGAATCCTGCCGTTTGGGGAATAATTCATATTTTGCATGAATGGAAGTTTATAGGTACTCTTGAAAATACCTCTGATTTGTATGTGGTTTACATTTATCTTTAGTCAAAATTGATGACTTTCAGAGCTGTTGATTCAAACACAATAGAATTTATTTGGTAACTGCAGGAAACTTCATTATTCACATGGACTGAAGCAATATTTATTGCTGTAACATAGATGAATACGAATAAGTGAACATGCCCACTTCTTTTCGGTTTACCCAATCCCTAGTTTGTCTTTCCTACCATCTAACTGGAAATGTAACTGAAGTGACCATAATCTGTTTGGTCTGTTTGTTTCACTTCTATCATTTGGCCCCGGGGCATCACTCTCGTGCGCGCGTGCGTACCATGCATGCAACACAGTTTCATGCCAAAGATTTCACTGATCGATCAACCGGTTGAATAACCTACCGTAGAGCAATTAGTCGGGGAATGATCACATGACCAAGTCGCCTAGACATCACGTGAAACTCCCGTGGGCCAATGCGTGTGTATATCTGTGCATTCGGACCAAACTCGGTTGGATCTGGTGGACGAAACTCCTCAAATCCAATCGCAGGATGCGCAGCATTTTTCGGCTCGATTCGTGCCACTGAGGCAATTTCGGAGTTCTTTCCCAATTCAACTGCTTGTTTCATTCACTTGATGCTCGTAGCATTCTATCTTTATTATTTTATGGCGTAGCTAGCCACAAGATGTGACTTTGGGAAGTACGACAACCCTTACCAGTGCGTCACAAAACCGCTATTGGCATGCTGGGCTAGTTAATCTTAGTCCTGATACTTTGTAATCCTGTACCTAGTTTTATTATTATTAGTTAATTATTATTATTATCTTCTTGGTTTCTATTATATAAACAAGAACGTAACATTCTATATATAGGAAGGGTGAAGTAAGGCCTCGGTGGCCTTATTCGATATGACGAAACAAAAGAACCAAAATAATGGGTGGACGACCCATTCCATTTGTCCCCGGCTACTCGAGGAAATCTTTTGTATTTGTGGTGTATACATGTCCCTCTTAAGTGTGATTGTCACCGAAGAGGCAACTTGATACAACAACTGATAATCGATTTGATCTGTCAAAGCTGCTCAGTAATGACAGAAGATAAATTGTTCATAANATCAGATGATTACGAATGACGGCAGCGGCGGTTTCAGACCAGTATCAGTCAGAAGGACTTTACTTCTCCAATTTGGACACTGATTTCATGGTTTGGCTGTTTATCATTGAATAAATTCTTTCTGTATGAACTTATTCTACAGCTCCGGAATGAGCACAGCCCTGAAAATTTTAAAAGGTTCAGGAAGGGCGATCATATCTGATTCATCTGGCCAGTTTCGTCCGTTATCTGTGTTTAAAAATTGAATAGTAGGATATCATTATTTTACGTTTGAAACGACTCCGATCATCTACTCACCAAACTGTGATGTAACATGAATCCTTTGTTCATGCTATCCATCAATCAGTATGTCAGTATGAGTTCCATAAAAATTGCGGTGAATCATTTCATGCAGAAAAGGATGTCAAAATAGCGTTGAAAAACTGAAAAGGATATTTTAGTTCCTACCCTTTCATCGGAGATTTCGGACCAGATTCTAACGCATCTTTAGCGTGAACGGAAGATAACTCAAGTGTTTCCCAGTCCGTAATTGAAAAATCAATTTTCGTATTACAGTTCAATTAATCCCTACACTTTTAAAAGAAATATCTGCTGAAGTGACAGTGTTTGTGAAAATATGCATTGTGGAATGATCAATGATAATCAGTGAACGTTTGTATTGTTTTCAGATGTTATGATAAGAATAACTGAACCCGATGACCGAATGATACTTGCTGAGTTGATGAACTACCAAAATATCTCACCAATGTGAACAGCATGACAGTTTTTTGCGCTGTTTTGAAGCGTGGTTTATTTGAGTTCAACCGTTCTGTTTTGTTCGTATTACATCATTTTTTCAATATATTCATCTTTGGTTGTATCTTGATAAACCTGAAGATTACCAGAGATATCTTAGACTAGCAGTTCCATAAAACTTTGAAATAAGGTCCAGCACATCATGGAAAAAACGACCTACTTGATAAATAAATCATAGCGCAGGTTTGCAAGCTGGTCTGAAACAGTGCAATGCCAGAAAAAAAGCAAATTTATCTTATTTCAACGATCGATATTGGCTCTCTGCTTAGAAAAATCGATGAATTGGAAGACATTGTACGAAGTTAGAAGTAGAAAAATCTTGAAGATAACTATGCTGCAAGAATTGCGGTTGCACGAAGAAATTCCCAGCGAAATTATACACGTGGTGGCTTTCACTATCCTGACAAAGTACGTTTTCACGCCAACGCAACCAAAGGATAAAAGTAAAGAGTCAACGAAAGTTCACTTCATGATCCATATGGTTCGGCTGATAATTTGGGATAGTTGGTTTCCTTTTAGTCTATTCTATTTATTTTAATTATCAAGTGTCCACGGCATAAAAATGCTCGGTTGGCATTTGCCAACTTGAGACATCTGTGGCGCCGTCGCGACATCCGGCTGTCTGTGAAGGGCCGAGTATATGCTGCAGCAGTTCGGCCAGTGCTGCTTCACGGTACAGAGACCTGGCCATTACGGGAACCGGATAAAAATAGATTGTTGGTGTTCGAACATCGCTGTCTAAGTCGCACTGCAAGAGTCTGGTGGGACAACCGGACGAGCAATGCTGAGATTAGGCGCAGAGTTTTGGGTAACCGAGATCATCCACTGGAGCGAATAGTCAACCCTCATAGATTAGGCTGGTTGGGACATGTGCTGCGCATGTCACCAGATAGGTTCCCACGGCGAGCGATGTTTGACGAGGCAGGTAGTGGGTGGAAAAAGATCATGGGCGATCAAACTTAGACCTGGCATGCTAGTATGAAAACCCAAACCAGGAGACCGGGTCACGTAAGTCCCGTTAGGCTCCCTGTCTGGGGACTCCGAGATCATTATCAGCGATGGTTAGAGACACTGAGCAATATTGCTGGGTATCGCAAACAGTGGCGCTCAAGCATCTACTCATTATTCTTGTAACTTCAGTCTATATAAATGCGCTATCTTCCGTTTGAATCTGCTGTCAACATTCTATTCTTCATTCCGTTGTTTTATTCAATGGGACACTCAAAGACAGCAACTAAAATCGGCGTACGAAGGTGCACGATTAATGGTTATAATAACTGAACTGAACTGATTCCATTTGTTCCACGTACATCAAGTACTGTGAATGATCTTCTATCGCAGCATGATTGAAATCGAACTTCAGTGCTCATGCCTGTACACAGAATGAGACCACAGACAGTCTCACTCAGCTCATAAAGGTCTAACAAGCAATAAAAAAGTGGCTTAACTCAAACCCACACCCCAAAATTCGTGAACTGGAAACTTGTGTTTCTGAGTGAGTCAAATGAAAAAACCGAAGAAGACAAGCCGGATTATTGATACGAATGACGTTCATCTTGTGCGCATTATGTGGCACNCATGAGTTTGCCAATCAATACACTTTGCATTTAGGATTGTATCAGGGGACATTTAGCTTATAACCACGGTATGTTGAGATAAACTCATAAATGAGTAAAGAACTGGTCAAGAATACAACATTGTACAGTTGGTGGCAAATATTGCACCTTATCTAAACGCGATTATCGCTATTCGGAAAGTGCATTAGAAAGTAATACACGCTTCAACGTCGACCAAACTTAAGAAACTTTTAACTTCTCCTCGCTTGCCTTCCATGAAACCAGAGTCCTTGGTGCATTAAGAAGTTAAACATTCCTGGGAAAGGGAGGGGGTTGAGCTCAGCATTTTAGATGCAAATTATGCTCTTTGTCCTTTCTTTTCTTTTATATCTTTACCTCCTTTTATCCGATGCACAGTGATACAATTTTCAGGAAGGTGGAAGTGGCGAATCAGTGGTCTACCATACAACATAGAATGAGGAAAATCAAGCTGTGGTCGTGTTGGGATTCGTACACACGTCCCCCCGGGTTGATAATTTACCGACCACGGGCGAACACCTGATTGTGCTGGAACTAACAAACTGACTAACGGCGCACCGAGATTGAAATTAAATCTATTTAAAGGTTCGTCGTTGACAAAAATGGAGTTCAGAGAACGCGTTTCAGAAACTGACAAAAATAAACAATCACTGTCTAAGTGAGTAACGGACCACACGTG